CAGCAGGAAGAAACCAGCAGTAAAAAAAGATGAAATGCTGATCAGAACTTTAAAGAAGGAGCAACCAATGAAACTGAATAGCAACAGTGAAAATCAACCCAGAAAACCCAGAATCAACACTCAAAATGTCTCCAAAATCAGAGTACCAGCCTAGAAGTCTAACCAGAAAAAGCTGAAGTTTTCAGAGAACTTTCAAGGAATTTTTCTCTTTTTTTTAGAACCTTTTAGTGCAGAAAATGTTGATGATTGTGTGTGTGAGTATGAGTGAATGCTTTATTTATATAGAATGCCCAAAGATGGCATCAAAATGGAATATTCTAACCTAAATTCTGAAATTTCAGAATAGTACAACATCTTTGACAGCTGTTTGTCCTTTTTCCCACCCAATTTTAGCATCTTTTGCTAAAATGGGGGCAACTGTCCAAAATACTAGAACCTTCTGATATTTATCCTATGTGACCCTTTCAATTACTAGTTATTTCAATTCTAAACAAGTCTGATCCTATTTTAGAAATCTATTTAGGACTTTCTAGAATCAAATAGATGATTAGGGTTTCTTAAACTTGCTTTAATTTGTAGCCCTAGGGTATTATATTTTATTTTCTGAAATTAAACTAAGGTCTAGGTTTCAATTCTAAGGTTTAAACCTAATTGACAAATTTTAAACCAACTAATCTTAAACAAACAATGCATTTAACTTGTACTCAAACAACTATCAAAATTCAGAATGTTTATGCAAAGAAAACAAGAAATCAAAACTAACTAATTTCAATTAAACAAGATTAAATCAAGCTAAGGCTAAACCAATCAGGAATCGGTTAAATAGGCAATTGATTAACCCTTAACACTATTCTAATTATCTTAACTGAATACTGAAACAAGCCTACAAGAGAAACAAACATAAAAGGAAAAACAGAACAAGCAAATCATCAAAACCTAAAATGCTAAACCTAATTAAATCTGAACCTAAGCAAATAAAATTTCTAATGATGAAATCTTAAACATGTTTTAGTTATTCTAATAAAACGGATACATGTACTCAAACTATCAGTCAAAGAAAAGAAAAAGAAAAACCTAGATCATGCGACTAGATAGGCAATTAAACAATGAACGAAAGACATACAACAAAAGATAGAAAGGGAAAGAAATTACCTAAGCTTGTAAAAAAACAGAGAAAAACTGGGCCGACCATGAATTTGACCAAACTTCAAAAGGGGAACATGAACCTGAACTAACATTAATCGACTGCTCTCAACAAGAATAGTCGATTAATGAAAGTTTGGGGGGGTTCAAACAACTAGCCATTAGACGAAAATCAGAAGAAGGGAAAATGTTAGGGTTTAGAGGATCTCAGATTTGAAATTCGAAGAAATTGACGGTGATTTTTGGAAAATTTATTGTAGTTTAGGGTTCAAAGGGGTGTGAGGAGTGTGAGGTGTGATTTTGGGGCTATTTAGGTGATTTAGGGTTTTTAGGGTCAGACTTAAGATCTATAATTCGAGCATTTGGGTGAATATTTGAGGGAAATAGTTTGGGAATTTGGAAAGGGGAGGGAAAAGAGGTCACATAGTGTTGATTTGATGGAGTTTGGAGCACCGACATCGTCGTGAGGCGATTTCCGGTGGGTGGTCAGCGGCGGAGGCGGCGTGGGAATAAAGACGGCTAGGGTTTGGGTTCATTTAGACGAGGGAGACAAAATGAGGGGTGTATGGGGGGAGGGTATGTGACTTTTCAGACAGTTATATATTAAATTGGGATTGAGTTCCGAACCGTTGGATCACATGAATCAAACGGCTGTGATGAAGGATAGAAAATAGGGTTGTTTGGTTTATTAGGGGGCTTGGACCGGGTAAGGGTGGTCTGGGCCTAGTTGGTTTTGACGGATTGGGTATCAAAAATGGCCCAAATTCAGATTAAATCCCTTTTGTTCAATTCCTTTTTCTTATTTCCTTTTCTTTTGTTTATTTTTCTTTTTCTTTTCCTTTAATTAAGAAAAAACCTAAATCAAATTTCTAATTTAATCTTTATTATAAAATTTATCTAATTATAATATTTATAAAAATTATTTGATCCTAGATTAAAAGAGAAAAATTACTAATCTAAAATTAAAAGCTAAAAATGTAAAAGTGAGCCAATTTTTGTGATTTCATCTTAATAAAGAAATTAATTAACTAATTAATCCTAAAATATGAAAATAAAATTTCAATGCAATGCACGGTATTTTTGGTATTTTTTCCTGATTTTAATAAAATTAAACGTGCACAAAAATGCAAACAATTAATAAAAAATCCTGCAAAAATCCTATAAAATTGCAAATAATCTGGAAAAAATCTATTTTCTTTATTTTTATAGGAGTATTTCGTATAGGGTAAAAATTACATGTTCATAACAAACAAGACTAAAAAAATTAGTATATAATAATGATAAATGGGTAATATGTAACAGAAAAGGCAAGAATTTTGTAGTATAGAATAATCATTTTAAACTAATGTGGAATTTAATATCTTTTTTTATCGAAATCATTTGAGTTATTGGTCAAATCACATTAAGGGAGAAATAGATCTAAAGTGAATATGATCCATTTAAGCTTATGTGGTATTTATTTTTGGATTTTTCTCATTAAATTTTATGTCATGTTATATTTATGGTAGGGGTTTGAGCCAAAATGACTTTTAAGTGATAATGATAAAGTTTAATTACTTTTAAGTGACAAAATATAATTGAATGGCTTTAGTGAAATTGAAAGGTAGTTGAATAACCATCAGTGAAATTAACCCTGTATCGAAGCTTAGAAGGGTGTACTTGAATAAAGTCAGTAAACAAGTTCAAAATCAATTAAAAAAATGTAAAATTAGAGCAATTATCCATTTCTAGATTTTACCAAAAATATATGTAAGGAGATGCTGATTGAATTGAATAATCCCACAATTTCTGCTTCATGATCATTTCTCTAGGTAAAATAAAAGAAAATAAAATAAAAGCATTACACCAAAATTATCCAAAAAGTTCGAAATAACTTACTGTTACTATATGTAAACCTCAAATTGAATAAAAGTTTCCAATCATTTCTAAACTACATGTAGATTGTAGACATGAGTTTACGTTTACTTGCTACTTATTATGTATAGGATATAATCTTATGACGTAATTTGACAAAATATCTCAAGTTTAGTCACAAAGTATTATCTATTTATCTATTTATCTATCAATATTATATTAAAAGCACGAAGGCCCTATCGAAATGTTGTTCGTCTTTTTTACCCTTCGTAAATACATTTTATATTAGATATACTTGTAATTGTAATCATTAATTATTATTTTTTTTGCCAAAAATCAAAAACTGTTGCGTGCTTCCTTTTAGATTTAGAATTCTTTAGAATTTACACTGCTTAGGACATTTTTTTTCCTTTGGTTTTGTTTCCTTTAGTTTTAGGATTCTTGGATTTCTGTTTTCTTTTGTTATGAATAAAAATAGTCAATGGGCCATGATGAAGAACGGGTTTAAGAAACTAGCAAACTTTGTGTGGGATCCGGGTTGATGGGCCCAAGCACCGAAATCAATTAAGCGAATTGGTTAAATAGGATAGTGTAACAATAGTATAGGCATGGTGAATATTGTTAGAAACTTCCCCTCTCTGGTCTCTCTCCCTCATCTTGTTGGCCCAAGTAAAGGTTAGTTTTGAAGAGTGACAAAGGAACTCAGACATGAACCAGATCCATCCTAGTAGAGCACAGATATGGACAGACTTAAGCATGCGAGATGCACGTGAAGGAGATAAACTTATCTTGAAAGAAGTCATATCTCCTGAACCTGATCGAAAAAGTTGCATATTGGATAAGGAGAATGACTCCTTACTCAAAAAGAACACGGATTAATAAAAGGATGGAGTTAGAGGTTGAGATCAACTAGAACTCTTCCACCAAGGAAGAGTAGCATCAGAAGTCTAGTCAATCCCTATTTACTAATTCTATAAATATCAATGTTGTTCTCTTCTATAGGAAACGCACATAAGCAGAAGTTAAACGTGAATTGAGAATGAAATAGCTAGCAAGGCAATTTTGCAAGCAATTTGTATATGATTCAAGCGTGCAAACCTGAAGCTACTTGAACCAAATAGAAGAACCAGTTCCAAGTATCTGTCTTTTATTCTAGTTTAATTGTAGTAGGTGTTTTCATATTGTACCTTTCAGCTTTATCTAGAAGCAATTGTATTAGGTACTCAGAGTTTTCAAGTTAGAGTTAACTTGAAGTTGTCGCAATAATTGAGGTTGTGTGTTACAATGAGATTAGAGTTAGTCCTAGGTTTACAAAAGAGTTTTTGTAAATGCAGTTTTTGGTTCAGTGATTTTAGTGAAGAGTTTGGAAAAATCCTACTAGAAAGTAGGTCGTGGTTTTTTCACCTTTTGAGCCAGGTATTTTCCACGTAAAATCATTATGTTCTTTATTTTATGTACTTATTATTCTGCAACAGTAGTAATTGGAACACATAGAAGAACCAGGTCCTTCTATAATCTACGCACGCAAAAAATTGGACACCATACAAATCTCCCCCCCCCCCCCTCCTCTTGTGTGGTATTGAAGTATAAAATATCAATTGGTATCAGAGAAGGTTATCCTTGAAGAGGCTAACACCTTAGGAATATATCAAGATGAGTGCACCACCTGAAAACTGGAAAGGACAATCCACTGCTAGGCCCTCACTCTTCAATGGCCAGTACTACTCCTGGTGGAAAAACAGGATGAGAGATCACATCATCGAAGAGGATTATGAACTATGGGACATTGTTACTGATGGTCCATTGGCTACCATGAAGAAGAATGTTGAAGGAGTGGATGTGCCAAAACTAGAGCTGACTACAATGCTGAGGACTTGAAGAAGTGGGAAAAGAATGCTAAGGCCAAGAAATGATTTGTGTGTGGACTTGGTCCAGACGAGTACAATAGAATTCAAAGTTGTACTACTGCTAAGGTGTGATGACCCGACCCGTCGTCTCATGAGTTACCACCCTTCTCCTATAGCTTTCCTTTTGGGAAGCGAAGCTCGAGCCTTGTTCAAATCAAGTGCAACATTAGCAGACATGCGAATGGCCATAACTACTTCACCTGTCATTCCTCTAACACCAAATCCTGATTAAAAGAAGGATACATAATCAACATTGAGAAAAGGGTGATTAACATGTGAAAAGAAAAAAACGTGTAAAAAGGAACATACCATGTGTTTTCACCTTCCAGCCATGTAAAGAAGAAATTGATTTCCAAGTTCTTTGATCCTTAGGAGCAATCTTCAAAATTGAATCTACCCAACCACGGAAGTCAGGAATAAGTTCCACATCTCTCATGGTTGCTACAAAAAACCAAAAAGAGACGAAGTTAGAAAAAGAATCAGAATTCTCAAAAATAGGTGCGGTAAATAAAAGAAAACTTACGTGCAAAATTCCACTTCTCAGGGAAGGGAATATTTGTTTCACCAAGCAAGTCCACTGTACGTACAGCAACGTAACGGGTGTACCATTCATGATCCCTGTCATCTTCAGGGCTTACCAAAACCTTTTTGCTTCTTGCAGTTAAGGTAAAAACCTCATGGCGCATTAAATTGGGATGGTATAAATGAATAAGGTGAGAAAGGGTGAAGTTGACATTGGCTTTGGCAGATAAGTATCTCAGACAAGCCACTGCTCTCCACACTAGGGGACCGACTTGGGCCAAACAGATTTTAAAGAAACGGCAAAAGTCAATAATGACTGGGTCAACCGGAGGATTAAAACCCAAAGTAAATGGGTAAGTATAAGCAAAAGAGTAACCATTTCTAAAGGAAGAAATTCTTTGATTTGGAGAAGGAATTGACATTCGAAGACTATTGCTCCAGTTATCCCTTCTGATTGTAAGAATTGTAAGCTCGGTTACTAATGAAGGATAAGTGTCAGCTTTTTTTAAATTTACAATTTGCTTTTGAAGAGACGTTCTATCACTCCCAAAAGATAAATCACTGGGAACAATTTCATCGACTAAAGGTTCTTGAGAAGAATCAAGGATTTCTTTACCTTTAGAAGAAGGGGTCTTCGGAATAGAACTCCCGATACTAGGAGAAGAAGAAGCAGGACCAGATAAACCATCACGAGCGGACCCTAGGCCCAAGTTCCGAAGCCTACCTCCTCTGCCTCTCCTATGTCTTGTAGGGGCATTGGGGAAGTGATTAAGAATTGGAACTTTTCTAGGGTTAGGGTTTGGAGATGACATTGTTGAAGAAGGATGTACTAAAGGGGAGAGAAAATACAAGTAAGTAAGAAACTGCTTGTTGAAGATCTATGAAGAGGAAGGTAAACGAAAGAGGATTAAAAATGCTTATAATGACAACCGTCAAACTTAGAAGTGCAATGATGAAAAGCCTATAATAAAGGCAACTATCATTTCGTGAATAGTGTGAATGAAGAAGTCTCGAAAAAAGGGTGTAGAATTGCAGAACCAATCAGAAGGTGACACGTATGTAAAGCATTAAATGGAAGGGACAATTGAAGCGTCAGTATTTGTCATAATATTAATTACGGCAAAAATTCCCTTTTTATGAAGATCCACTTCCCAATTATTTACTTGATAAATAAATGGAAAGTGGGGGGACTATCTATATTGGAAAAAAACTGAATTTACATTGTAGGTGACGTGGCATGACACGTGGACTGGTCAAACGGTCAAAACACAATAAATAGCCAAGAGGCACGGGCGACAACAGATAAGGGAAAAAGAAAGCAACATAGGTGCGGACCGTTACTAAAATAGGTACGAGTCTCGTACCTATCCAAGTCATTTAAAGACCGAAGATCGGAAGAAGTTGAAGATACGAATCTGATGACGTAAAAGAGTCTAAATACAGTATTAAATATCAAATACGTTAGAATATTTGATTTAAAAAGAAATGATTGTGTAACGTTTCTTTTAATGTTATTTATTGCTCATAATTATCTCATTAAGACAAAGACATTACATCTTCTCCTAGAATTAACTATAAAAGGAGAAGAACTCACCATATGTAAGGATACGAAATACTATTGAGATCTTACTGAAATACAAAACTATTTACTGCTTTACCATCATTCTCAAAAATATTTTATTTTCGTCTCCTGATTATCAATAACCCAAATTTCTTTTTAACTTTGACCAAAGACTTAGATTTTTGGTTAAACAGAGACGAAATAGATCCTAATGGAGTTGATTGGGATTCATTTAGCTCACCCAACTACATTATGATTAGGGTGGTTGTTGTTGTTGTTGTTGTTGTTGTTTTATGCTATTCTGGTTTGCAACCATGGCGGTGTCCCTTCCCTTACCCGATTTTGTGACAGACTGAGCCTACTTCTTATGTCCTCAACCAAGAATAAGTAAAACGCTCAAGATTGTGAATGAGGCAGCATAGCAATGGGTAGTTTCTAACTGGTTGCCTCCCATCTGCATGCCAATGATTTCTCAGTGTCTGGTACTGTCAAAGAAAGAGCCTTTCTTTAATGCCCTGTTGATGTTATGGTTGGTCATTGACAATCTCGTCTGCTTTATTGGTCATATTCCTTTCCCTTTTAAAATCACAATCGTAAGAGCGATGTTTGTCACGAAAATTTTCTGTGAAGTTTGGACTGTTGACAACACAAAAAATCAGCCTAGAAAAAATTACAAATTAAGAAACAGAAGAGATGAAAAATAAATTTAAACAAATTTAGATGGAGTGTTGAATGACTAAATTGCACTGATATCGTGTCTTTTTTCAGTCTCGTACTATTTGCTAATACGAGGTAAAAGCAAGGATATAAAAGTAAAGGAAGGAGATAATAAGATTTTATTTTTATAAAATAAGCAGCAATGGGGTCTGTCTGTAACTTTGTTTATGTCCATACATCTATTGCTTCCTTGTTCATATCTTATGGGTTCTTTGTTGCCTTGGCTTTGAGATTCTTCCTTGGGAGCTATTGAGGAACTGGTGGATGTTTAAAAAAATATTTGTGGGGAAACATGAAAGGAGCTCTGATGATACTTCTAGTTCTTTCTTTTCTGTGCTAATAAATGAGCATGGAAAATTCCCTGACCTGTATCTTGGCTTGGTATACCTATATGGCCTGATTGAGAATCTTCTCGTTTCACATCAACCAATTTTGTGTAGCATGAATCCCAAATTTGTTGGGAGTGGTATCCACTCTGCTTTTTTAGGTATTTTTTCATTCAAATATTGTGTGTGAGACTGTTTGTCTCTGGTAATATATGTGTATGTGTGCATATAGAGCATGTAAGTAGGTACTTCTTGTTTGTTTTTGCATTTAAGGAGTATACTCTGTTCTCTTTCATATATTTACCCCACTTTAATTCTCTCCACTCCTGACAATGTATAGAGGGTATACAAAGTACTGGCAGTCTTCTTTCCTGCTATCTTCTTTTGCTTCTGCTGATGCTTCTGCTACTGTATCTACTTCTGTTGCTTCTTCTGTTTCTGCTGCTTCTTCTCTACTACTTCTCCTGCTTCTGCTTTTGCTTATTTTGGTCTTATATAATAGAATTTTACCTATTTAATTTGTAGGAGCGTTGCAGGAAGAATGCAGAAATTCAAAAAAACCAACTTCCTCATACTTGTGGTGCTATGAGTTTGGCTAGAAGAAGGGCTGCAATGGTAGTTTAAGCGCTTAACTTAGATAAGATATATGTTCTCAATTAATTACTAACATTATTCATTTTAAAATTTTCAGAAGGCGGTGGAAAAAGCTTTTGATCGAAGCAAAATGTGGACTGAGACTCATAAAAGGAAAGATGGGAGTTATGTAACTGATGAGGCTTTGGTGATTGGGGTAAGTAACATTTTTGGTGCCTTCTGCTGTGAAATTATATTTTACTTTTAGATTGGTACTGCTTGTCTAGTCTCGGGTTTGAAACGTGCTTGGTTTAAAAATTCTATTTTAGCGTTGGGGCATATACTTGATGAATATAACATGTCTGATCATTACATTGGTTTTGAAACGTGCTTGGTTCCAGTAACCTGGTTGTGTTTCGACCAGCAAACATCTGAAGAACTGTTCAAAAGCCAATACTTTGCTTAACTATCAGAAGTTGGATGTTGGAAATAATAATCAGGTGTTTGAGTCGCACAAAACCAGCAGCCAAGCCTTATCATGGCCCTTCCATAAAGCAAGTAAAGCAACTGCTTTACGCCCCGTATTTATGAGGGCCCCTTTTTTGTTACACCTAATTGATTATGTATAAGTTTAACAAAAAGTTTTGTGAAGTGAAAAAGTTCGATTTCTTTCTTTAACAAATATAGAGAAGAAAACTTGCACCAAGAAAGCTTGCACCACAAATATAGAGAAGAAAACTTGCACCAAGAAAAAGTTCGATTTGTAATTGCTATAAGATTTTTGACAAGGAAACTTGCACTTGAAATGAATATCGAACCCAAATTTCGTAAGAAATGTGTGATATATAGGAAGTAACAATTTGATGAGAGTGTTGATAATGAAGTCTCAAAATCTTTCGAAGAGTTCTTTAGAGGACGGGTTATTCACATTTCATTTGATGGAGCAAATTAAAAGCTAACCAGTGGAAATTCTAAATATTCCCCGAGAAAAAAAAAGATGCCTCCTATGTTGCCCATAGATTACTTTTATACATAGTAGACAAGGTTATTTCTTCACATCAAAATAGATTTGAGCAATTCGAAGCATATGGAAATATTTTTGGTTTTCTATTTAGCGGTAAAAACTAAAATCACTAGATGATAAAAATTTAAAAATATATTGCCTTAATCTTGAATGTTCCTTAAAACATAATAATCAATTATATATTGATGGTTTAGATCTATTTTCTGAATTAAAAGTATTAAGAAAAATAGTACAATTAAAAGATAACAGTTTAATTGATACACATTAAATAAAAAGATTTGATTCTTTTCCAAATGCCTATATTGCTTATGGAATAATGTTAATAACTCATGTTATCGGTGCTTCAATGGAAAGAAGTGTTTAAAATTAAAATTGATAAAATCTTACGAAAGATCAACAATGTCTCAAGAAAAATTAAGTAGATTAGTTATATTGTCAATTGAGAAATACTTATTAGGAGTTATTAATTATAAGAAAATTATAAATAACGTTGTATATAAGAAAAACTAGAAAAATAGACTTCAAATAAATAAATAAATAAATTTAAAAAAAAATTAAGTTCCCTCATAAAGTTTGGCTTTAGGCCACAAAATTCGACGGGCCGCTCCTGCTTACCATTCTCTTAATAAGCATTAATATAGAAGAAATTACTCTGAACTAGTTCAACAGAAGTAGCTTTTATAGACAAGCTCAAATGATTATTTTCTTTGCAATCAACTGCTCATCACTATAGCTTTAACAAATCTGTTATAAAGCAGATTAGCTTTGTTATGTTAGCATATTAGCATTAAATGAGATCTGCTGCTTCTACAGAAATTTTGGCTAGACCATATGGTGTAATTTGCATTTCATTTTGGGATGTGGTGTTATGGATCTGTTGATGGTTTGATTCATGTTTTAGCTAGCAGTTTAATGTACAATTCTTGTCATTTCCAAGTTCCAAGCACCTTCATATTGCTCAGTTTATGCTTCTTCAAATTTTGTAGGAAAGAATTGAAGAAATTCGAAGTCAAAGAGCAGAAAGTCTTGATGAATCTTCACCAAATGATGCACTTGGCATAGTATTCGGTCCCGAGCACCCCGGCCATGTTCGAGGTTT